TGGGCTCAAGCAATCCTCCCACCTCGGCCTCTCAAAGTGCTAGGATTACAGGCGTGAGCCACCATGCCCGGCCTAAAACATTACTAATGAAACATTTTACTTTCTTATTTTTCATACCAAGTCCAATATTTGTTGTCTATTTTACATGTACAGTGCATCTTTTTTTTTTGAGACAGAGTCTTGTTCTGTTGCCCAGGCTGGAGTGCAGTGGCGCAATCTCGGCTCACTGCAAGCTCTGCCTCCCGGGTTCACATCATTCTCCTGCCTCAGCCTCCTGAGCAGCTGGGACTACAGGTGCCCGCCACTATGCCTGGCTAATTTTTTGTATTTTTTCGTAGAGACGGGGTTTCACTGTGTTAGCCAGGAAGGTCTCAATCTCCTGACCTTGTGATCCACCCGTCTCGGCCTCCCAAAGTGCTGGGATTAAAGGCATGAGCCACCGCGCCTGGCCTACAGTGCAACTTAATTCAGACTGGCCACATTTCAAGCGCTCAGCAGCCACTAGCCAACATAGCAGTTCTGTATAATGGATGTGTGATTCCGTTTTCAAGAGTATTGTGTAGTATTTTAGAGTTGAGTGAATGTCTGCTTTAAACAACATGAGAGATACAGGTAGTCATAGTGGTGCCAACCAAAAATATGAATAGTCTTTTTTTCTTTCATGGAGTTGGAGGTTCAAGTAAATTTCAGAAGATCAGATGGTGATCCTATGAATCACAAGAGGCCATAGATGCAAGGACAAGAGCAGGTCAGGGCAATCAGATATGAAACACAGGGCTCCTAGAATGAGCAAAATCAGCACCCAAGGGGTGTGAAAACTAGAATGAATGTGTCCGATGAATAACTCATTCTACGTTGAGAGAAATTTTATCTGTGAGTCCAGGTAGCTTCCTGGATTTTATTAAGAACTTTTAAAAGATGTCATGGAGATTGAGTTGCTATTTAGAGATTGAGCTGGTATTTAGAGATTGAGTTGGTATTTAGAGATTGAGGCACATTAAGAAAGATGTTGAAATGAAGAAAGGGTTTGTTGTAATGACAAGTGCTAACAGGAAGGTGGTGGCTTGAAGGAGAGTTGACAAATCTGTCATTATCCTTCCAGTCTTGTCCAAGGCAGAGGGCGTTCTTGCCAGACAGCATACGCGTTCCAGGGTGCTTGGCAGACTCCCTCAGTGAAGGAGCCTCAGCACAGCAAAAGTCCCCATCAGGCGGATCCCACGCCCCCTGCACAGCTTGTGTAAGGGCACAGCTTGTGTAAGGACAAGAACGAACCAGATACCTACTACGTAGCAGGCTCTTCAATGATTCTTCTGTAAAACAGATTGTATTCGTTTGCTAGGGCAGCAAAACACCACAGACTGAGTGGCTTAAACAACAGAAATTTATCTTCTCACAGCTCTGGAGGCTGGAAGTCCAAGATCAAGGTGCCGGCCCATTTGGTTTCCTTGGAGGCCTCTCTCCTTGACTTGCAGATGGTCACCCTCTTCCTCCCTCTTCAGCTGGTTGTCCCTTGTGCATGTGTGTGCCTGGTGTCTCTTCCGCTTCCATTCTGAACTTATGAAACAGATTTTAGTGGGTGTAGCAAGATCATGCAAGCTTTGGGACTTGAATGGATTTGAATCTATTCCAATCACATTGGATTAGAGTCCTACCCCAATGGTCTCATTTTAACTCAATCATCTCTTTAAAAACTTCATCTACAAATATACTTACATCCTGAAATTTTGGAGTTTGGGACGTTGACGTATGAAATTTGGGGTGACACAGTTCAGCCAATGATATAAGCACTATCTATCTTACAGGTGAGGAAACTGAGGGCCGGTGAGGACATGTAACTTGCATAGTAAAGTACGGCAGTTGAGACTAGAATCTGGATCTCAGTTGGGTGTTCTTTACACAAAGAACACTTTGTCTCTTGAGGCGAAATGATGTATCTGGTTAGTGCCATCGAAGACATTTGGAAAACTCAGGTTTCTTCATTGCTTGCAAGATTACCTAGATACTTCATGGGGAATGGTGAGGGGCATGAGGGTGGTTGAGGGATGATCAGTGGAAGCAGTTTGGAGATTGGGATCTGGAATCGGGGTGTGAGTCTTGGCTCTGTCATAGACTAGGCATATTGCCATTGTCAAGGCCTGCACAATCTAAGCTTATACTGATTAAGATTTATTAAGCAACAGTGCTAAGCAGTGAACACATGTCATCTCATCCCATGTTCACAGCCAGTGTATAAAGTGGATACTATTGCTGTGTCTACTTTACTTGAGGAAAAGAGGCCCAGAGAGGCTAAGTGACTTACTCAAGGTCACATAGCCAATAAGGCCTAGAGCCAAGACTCAAACCCACGTCTGTGGATTTCAAAACCTATACAGTTAACCATGAACAGAATCAGGAACGGGGCTCAGGGTTACAAAAATCTGCTTTTATAACGGAGAAAAAGTCTGAGTTTTAATGCAAAATCTCAAGATTTTCAATGTTGAATAATTCAAGTTTCTTAAACAAAACTAAGCAGCTCAGACAAAACATATCAGCTAGCTTCAGTTTCATACTGCATTGCCTCTTACCTGTAAAGTGGGAAAGTTGTTCTAGATAAACCTGCAGGGCCTTGCCTGTCCTGATTGTTTATGAACCTCTGATGCCATTTTGAACTTATGAAATAGATTTTGGTGGGTGTGGTAAGATCATGCAAGCTTTGAGACTTGAATGGATTTGAATCTGCACCTTGGCCCTTAGTAGCAATATAAGAAGGCAAATTATTTAATCTTTCTGAACCCCAGTTTCCCTGTCTGGAAACTGGGACTTGTACTTTGTACGTTGATGTGAATATGGAGATGAAGTCTGTGAAGTGCCTGCTGGGAAGCTTGGTAGGCAGTGAGAAAAGAACACCAAGATCATGTTCTTCGGCGTGGGATTGGGAGTCTGTGAGTAGTGGGTGTATGTGAGTATTCGGAGGGGATGTGGTCATGGTATCCACTCTGACAGCACTCCTCACATACCCAAGGAGCTGCCATTTTAAACTTAAGTTTTGGAAACTTCAAGAGTTCCTTTACAAAAATGTCCATCCTTGTTAGAGAGACTGGTTAATACCTTTGCAGGAGTTAGATGCTATTATATTTATTTACTCACTAGGCAAGCGTTTAGTGAGTTTCCAATGTGGTGAAAGAGGAGTGGTTCTCAAACCCTAATCTGCAACAGGAAACAGCCAGGGAGCTTGCTTATACTAAAGCTTCTGAGCTGCCACTCCCAGAGTCCAACTTAGAGTGCCATAGGGCCAGGAATCTGCATTTCCACAGCTCTCTGGGGATGCTGATGCAGGGGTCCAAAGACTATCTACTGAGGCCCAGTGTAACTTTACTGTGAGACAACTAGTCACCTTCCCACTCAGAGACGCTTCCCGAGCTGACCATAGCGCCGCCACACCTGGGTAAGCTACCACTCAGGGTGGGCCTGGGGCACAGCCAGACCGGTGAGGAAGTGGGAGGGAAGAGCCTGTTTTAACTAGATAAAATTCCAAAATTCCTTACAGTGAGTCAGCCATTTTTTTTTCTTTTTTTTTTTTTTCTGAGTATCCTTCAGTTGCCCAGCCTAGAGTACAGTGGTGTAATCACATAGCTCACTGCAGCCTGGAGCTCCTGGGCTCCAGTGATCCTCCCACCTCAGCCTCCTGAGTAGCTGGGACTAAGTCACATACCCCCAAGCCCAGCTAATTGTTTGTGTGTGTTTTTTTTTTTTTTGAGACGGAGTCTTGCTCTGCGGCCCAGGCTGGAGTGCAGTGGTGAGATCTCCACTCACTGCAAGCTCCGCTTCCCGGGTTCACGCCATTCTCCTGCCTCAGCCTCCCGTGTAGCTGGGACTACAGGCGCCCACCACCGCGCCTGGCTAATTTTTTTAAAATGTATTTTTAGTAGAGACGGGGTTTCACCGTGTTAGCCAGGATGGTCTCGATCTCCTGACCTCGTGATCCGCCCGTCTCGGCCTCCCAAAGTGCTAGGATTACAGGCGTGAGCCACCGCGCCCGGCCGCTAATTGTTTTTTGTAGGGGTGGTGGTGGCGGTGGGGTGTATGTCTCATTAGGTTGCTCTGTCTGGTCTTGAACTCCTGGCCTCAAATGATCCTCCCGCCTCTGCCTCCTTAAGTCTTGGGATTACAGGAGTGAGCCACAACACCCAGCCCAGCCAGTTCATTCTTAATAACTTTAAGACATAAAAATGGACCATTTTGGGCCGGGCGCGGTGGCTCACGCCTGTAATCCCAGCACTTTGGGAGGCCGAGGCAGGTGGATCACGAGGAGATCGAGACCATCCTGGCTAACACGGTGAAACCCTGTCTCTATTAAAAATACAAAAAATTAGCCGGGTGCAGTGGCGGGCGCCTGTAGTCCCAGCTACTCCGGAGGCTGAGGCAGGAGAATGGCGTGAACCCGGGAGACGGAGCTTGCAGGGAGCCGAGATTGCGCCACTGCACTCCAGCCTGGGCGGCAGAGCAAGACTCTGTCTCAATAAATAAATAAATAAATAAATATAAATAAATAAATGGACCATTTTCGTGTACTGAAATAAGCAATAATTTCCACCATCCGAATACGGTGTGTAATGACCTCCACGCGCCTAGTTACTATCTACATTCATAGCTCAGCGAGCAGAGCCTGCCCTGAACGAACTCCTTTCCAACTGCGGACGAGTAGGGGGTTTTGCCCGTGAAGCAGGAGCTAGTCTACGTGTGCCTGCAGTAGGCCCTGCGCCATCCTTCATTTCTCGGCTTCCTCCCACGCGCCTTCATGCGGATGTGTAGGTATCTCCTCTCCCTGGCTGAGTCAAGTCACTCAGAGACTGAAAAGAGAGAGAGGATGCGGCGTGAAGCTGAAGTCTGCACCCAGGGCTTGGCACCTACTGGGTTGGGCTGGGCGCTGCGTGCTTGCATTTCCGCGGATAGACCGAGATGGCATCTGGGCTGTGACACTGGCTGCCCAGCTTTTCTTTTCTTTTCTTTTTTTCCAACAGCATCTGGAAGAGGATCTGGGAGGGTCCAAGCAACAAACCACGCGGCGTTCTCTGGAGGCTGAGCTGGGACGAGTAGGCGGAAACAGCCTCAGGTCTCTCTCTTCTCTTCAGCCTGAAACTCACTGCAAATACCAGAGGTTTTTTTTTAGAGATTAGATACATTTGCATCCTTCCCCCCCAACCCCGCCCCTAAGCCAGAGGAAGTGCTTGAGGAAGTAATGTGTTTAAAGAATGTGGGGGAAGGGAGCTTACATTAGGACGCAGGACTCCTAACGTGTAGCCAGAAACCCCAATAACCTTTAAGCTGTTAACCCTTGAGGATACACGGCTCAGTGGTGTACCCACATGGAGTTCATTATTTATCTCCGAAAGCCCTATCCGTCTCTCATTCCGAGCCTTAAACGAATCATCTGCAGTTTGGCCAACAATTCAGCTCCAGCTCCCTGGGAATAGCAGCAAATCCCGGGACAGCTGTTCCTTCTGCTGAAAACACCAGGAAAATCCACCCAGCAGCACAGGGTGTTTGACCAGAAAGCCTGGTGTTGGTCACTGTCAGAGAGGACGAAAGGAGGGAAGAGGTCCTTGGCCCCGTCCTTCCATTTTTTTTTTTTTTTTTTTTTGGTCCTTGGGAGCTTGGATGAGCTTGTCTTTGATTCCTTAATTGGTTCTGCACTCTTTTCTCCCCTTCATAAATCCATTGAAATGATACATATATTTAAGAGCAAGGCAAACCTCAAATTAGGCTGTCTGTAGAACTGAGCCTCTGCAAAGAGAGTAATTAAATTATTGGCATGAAACGGCAGGAACCCTGGAGGGGACGGCAGGGAGAAGGCACTAGTAAAAGTGGGAGGAAACTACTTGGGAAGATATTGGTGCCTATGCTAGGGAATGACATATATCCAAGCCATTTCTCATCAGACTTGAAAATACCGTATGCATCTGTGTATGCCAGCAGATGTGAGGCAGATTTCCCTGGCCCGCTGGTCTGTCTGAATGTTCTGTCTCTGTCCCTCTTAGGGGCTTGCCGTGCCACCCCTCCTCCACAATGTGGAAATAAAAACCTTGAGTTCCTTTAAGGAAAATTCCAGGCACCTAGCTATCCCTGAGAAATTAATGAGCAACTTCATAAGCAAAAAGGTAATCGCAGCATAAAACAATAGCCATAAAATTACAGCCATGAGATGTTTGGTTCCCTGTAGAAACCAAAGATACATCTTAACATACGTCCCTGTGTTATTTTTCAGAAACCTAGACCACCACCAAATGGATCTGCTGGCACGTAGACCTCAGAAAAAAGGAAACTGAGGACTGAACTCTGACCGCTATTTCTTGTTCTACATTTTTTCTTGAAGGACCTGAAGGAAGTCACGCCCATGGGCCAGACCTAACGTTCTTTTCTGCTAACTCCTAGTTTTTAAATAGAGCTTCCCTTCCTTAACCAATCGCAAATCAGAAAATTTTTGAATTCCCCTGTAACCTGTAAGCCCCTACTTCAAGATATCCTGTGTGTTAAGGTCAAACCAATAGGTAGCCTCCATGTGTCGACTTATGACTTTGCGTGTAACCTCTGCCTGCCTGCCTTTAGAAAGAAACCGTTGCTTGCAAGCCTTTGGGAAGGTCAGGTGAGCTGCCTGATTCTCCTTGCTGGGTGCCCTGCAAATAAACACCCTGTTTCCTCTCACTACAAAACCTCAGTGTGAATGTTTGGCTTCACTGCCCTGGAGGCACAGACCTCAGTTCATTTGGGCAACATGGGTCTCGGTGTGCTGAAAGCCACTTTTTGTTTTCATTAGGGACTTGCTCATGCCAAACATCCTGAATTTAAGTAGAACTTACTACGTTTGGGGAGTTTGTGGGATGGGGTCCCCTTATGGAGCCCTGAGCCTTCTGCCATCCCCTATCTCTGGTCCTATTTTATTTTATTTTTTTTTTGAGATGAAGTTTCGCTCTGTCACCCAGTCTGGAATGCAGTGGCACAATTTCAACTCACTGCAACCTCCACCTCTCAGGTTCAAGCCATTCTCCTGCCTCAGCCTCCCAAGTAGCTGGGATTACAGGCTTGTGCCATCACGCCCGTAATTTTTGTGTTTTTAGTACAGACGGGATTTCACCACGTTGGCCAGGCTGGTCTCAAACTCCTGACCTCAAGCGATCCACCTGCTTCGGCCTCTCAAAGTGCTGAGATTACAGGCGTGAACCACCCCACGCCTGGTCCCTCTGGTTCTCACTCATTCTAACCTGGATTGGCTCCTGGGTGCTCCAATTCTTTCATTGCTTCAATGCGAAGGTTTCACTTTCCTTTGAGGCCTTACTATACAGGTCAACATTCCGGAGGTATCAGCCTCTGTCACCAATTGACTTTCACAAGCCCACCAAGCACTTGGCAAAATAAAGGCCTTCCTGTTAACACCATCTGGTGTTAGGGTACAGTGGGTAGCAAAAATGTGTCCCTTCTGCATATGTAATCCACATATCCCCAAGCCTTCTCTGTCCACGGAAAAGGCTTGAGCCTCCACTCCTGTGGCCCTGCAGCAAATCCAGTCCTCTCACCTCCCCATATTTTTGAGGGTCCCTTAGGGAAGGGCCAGTTACCCATTGTCTTACTCTAGAAGTCATTGCTTGGGTCCTCTTACAGGTTAACTCTGGCCTTTTAGCAGTTCCTAATCTGTGCTGCAGTGGTACCCTTAGCTCAGTCTCTCTGCAGTAAGGTGGATACAGGAGCCCCCTGCCCATTCCCTGGAAAACAGTGAACACTCTCACTCCTGATTGTCTCTGCCTCCACCCTTGCCTGCTCGTGCCCTGCCCTGGAGGTCACCTCCTGGCCCGGAATCTCTTGCTCCCTGTGATGGTTAATACTGAGTGTCAATTTGATTGGATTGAAGGATATAAGTATTGATCCTGGGTGTGTCTCTGAGGGTGTTGCCAAAGGAGAGTAACATCTGAGGCTGGGAAAGGCAGACCTACCCTTAATCTGGGTGGGCACCATCTAATCAGCTGTCAGTGTGGCCAGGATATAAAGCAGGCGGAAAAACATGAAAAAGCTAGATTGACTTAGCCTCCCAGCCTACATCTTTCTCATGTGCTGGATGCTTCCTGCCCTCGAACATCGGACAAGTTCTTCAGCTTTGGAACTTGATTGACTTCCTTGCTCCTCAGCTTGCAGATGGCCTGTGGTGGGACTCTGTGATCCTCTAAGCTAATACTACTTAATAAACTCCCTTTTATATCTATCTATCCTATTAGTTCTGTCCCTCTAGAGAACCCTGACTAATACAGATTTTGCTACCAGGAGTGGTTCTAGAGGAACAGAATATTAAGGATGGAGTTCTTTAGTTGGTTTTGGGGTTTCTGGAGTTGGCTCCTTAATATGATTAGATCCCAAAATGCTAAGGACTCTGCTGCTAATAGTATAGAGAACACTAATAGTCATTGGTGTGAACTCTTCAGAGAGTTATGGAAAATAAATGCATTTGATACTCCTGATTCACCCCTCGTGAGACGTAAGGAGTTTAGTGACTCTATACATAATACCTTTGACTATATGTGGAGAACCAAGGAACGTAATGAAGTTGGTTGGTTGCTCCTAAGTTCACTGGACAAAGTTATGAAAGAAAATGATGAACTCAGGACTTGTACACTCTCTATCCCTTGTCCCTTGCTCCTCCCTATCTCCTTGCTCCGGCCAGAGGAAGCAAAAATGCCTTAATTCCATAAATAATTTCTACAGACTCCCTGTCTAAAACAAAGATGGATTTCTACTTAACTTGTCAGTCTGAAGCAGTTGCATCTAGATTACTCCACTGTTTTTGTTTGTTTGTTTTGTTTTGTTTCTAGAAGAAGACTTGCTGGGGAAAAGGAAGATTCTCTCCATCCTTCTTCTACCCTACAGTACCCTAAAGGATACGACTTTCTTCCTTTAATGTTTTATTTTTAAAAGTTTTAGATATACATAAAGTTGATGGAGTACTGCAATGAATGAATGCCCATATATCCTGTACCTGGATTGAACAGGTAATAACATTTTGCCAGGTTTGCTTTATCTCTGTATATGTAGCTGTGTGTGTGTATGTGTGTGTGTGTGTGCATGTTTGGCTGGGTCATTTAAAAGTAAGTTGCAGACATCATGATCTTTTATTCTGAAATACTTCAGCTTGCATCTCCTAAGAATAAGGACATTTTACAAACCACCATACCATTAACGCCTAAAAAAATGAACAGTATTTCCATAATACACAACAACTTTTAAAACAGCGTCTTCATGGCTTTTTCTGGTATTCTTCCTTCATACCTTAGGCCATGTAGTAGTGGCAACTGTGTTATCAGTACTTGGGAACGCCAGTGGTTTTCCTGTCCAAATTGGGGAACAAGGTTGCCAAGAGTTAAATGTAAGATTAACTTAAAATCAGAGCAGAGATATGCAGAGTCATCTTAAAAGATATAAAGAGGGCCCAGTGTGGTGTCACATCCCTGTAATCTCATCACTTTGGGAGGCTGAGGTGGGAGGGTCATTTGAGGTCAGGAATTTAAGGCCAGCCTGGGCAATACAGTGAGATCCTGTCTCTTCAAAAAACAAAAAAATTATCCAGACATGATGGTGTGTACCTGTAGCCCCAGATACTCAGGAGGCTAAGGTGGGAAGACTCCTTGAGCCCAGCAGTTCAAGACTGCAGTAAAGTAAGGTTGCACCACTGAACTCCAGTCTGGATGACAGAGCAAGACCCCGTCTTTTAAAAAAGAAGAAAAAAAGAAGAAGTCTATTTATTTGGTTCATAGTCTGTTGACCCCTAAAGGAAGCATCAGAAGCCACTACATAAAAGCTGTGACATGAAACTCAGGGAGATTTTTCTAAGATATTTGCCAGCTACAAGGCATTGTCCATGGGCCTTATTTCCAGAAAAAAACGGGGAGGGAGGAATGCCATGGAATAAGTTATTCTTGAGAGTCTTTGCTTATTCTTAAGGATTGTACTAGGCCCAGCCAGTCTCATTTGCTGCTCGGAAATGAAGGCATGTGCCTCAACGTGTGGGATTTCTATTAAGCATGAAATTTGACCCCATAAGTACTACCTAATCTCATGGGTACTGTCCATGTAAGATTGGGTCTCACATAATGGACCTTTGAATATTTCAGTCTCAGTTGAAAAGTCCTCTCTGTAATGAGAAAGGTGAACTGGCTCTCAGAGCTCGATTCCCTTAAACATGGGAGTCTCCCTAATTCCCTTCGTTCAGATTCCATATTGAAAAAGCAGCTGTTTGGCTAGGCGCGGTGTCTCATGCCTGTAATCCCAGCACTTTGGGAGGCCGAGGTGGGTGGATCATGAGGTCAGGAGGTCGAGACCATCTTGGCTAACATGGTGAAACCCCGTCTCTACTAAAAATACAAAAAGCTAGCCGGGTGTGGTGGTGGGCACCTGTGGTCCCAGCTACTGGGGAGGCTGAGGCAGGAGAATGGCAATGACCTGGGAGGCGGAGCTTGCACTCTAGCCTGGGTGACAGAGAAAAAAAAAAAAAAAAAAGAAAAACTAGCTGTTTTAGTTTTCTGTGGCTGTTATAACAAAGTATCACAAACTCAAATTGGGTGCCTTAAAACAATAGAAATGTATTCTTGCGTAGTTTTGGAAGCCAGAAGTCTGAAATCAAATGTCCGCAAGCCCGGCTCTCTTGGAAACTTGAAGGAGAGAAAGTTTCTTTGCTCTTCTAGCTTCTGGTGTTTGCTGGCACTCCTTGACTTGTAGATGCCTCACTCCTATTCCTGCGTCTGTGGTCACACGGCTGTCTTTTCCCTGCGTGTATCTGTCTCTTCTCCTTTTCTTTTCTTTTTTTTTTTTTGAGAGGGAGTCTTGCCCTGTCGCCCAGTCTGGAGTGCAATGATGCGATCTCGGCTTACTGTAACCTCCACCTCGCAGGTTCAATTAATTACATCTGCAAGACCCTGACTTCCAACTCAGGTCACAATCACAAAGTCTTGTGGGTTAGGACTTAAAGAGACCTTTTGCGGGACACAATTCAACTCATAATAGCAACCCTTAGATTATGATGTTGCTCCCATGGAAACTTCCTTCTAGGAAAAGATGTCTTAGTCATACAGACTTTAAGTATTCTAGTTCCTGTGTCGGTGATTTCCTGTTGTAAAATACATAAATTAGACTCAGAGAATGATTTGGCTTCCCGTGTCATTGGACTATAGATAGAAAAAGAATGCATCGATTATATGTGGACCAGGGTTTTGCATTTCCGGAGACAGTAATTGCTCATTGTGAGCCAATAAATTGACTTTCTGGTTTGATTCATCAGTGTCATGGTCCATCCCTGAGATTTTGGCTAGGAGAGGAGCAGCCACCATATCTATGCCAAAAAAACCTAGTTTCTGAGCTTCTGAGGTTGAGAAGCAGACTTAGTGCTAATTTGCCAGGATGATGACTTCAACCCCAGGAGCCCACGGCAGTTGAACAATCTGGATATTTCCAAAGCTAGCAGCCCACTACCACATTGCCATGTGGTTAAATGCGAGGGCCATTATTAGTCTCATTTTGGATTTCCAATAAGTTATATAATATATATTGTATTTCTAATATATAATTTAATATAATAGAAATCCAAAATGAGTCAAATATATGACTCAGACCATAAATATATTACATAGATAAATAAATAATGAATAAATTATATAAAGGTAA